TAATATTTAGCGTAAAATCAAGGACAACTCCTTACTAACTACTAATCCACTTTTTCATCCATGAGAGTTGAAGTAGTTAAATAATGGAAGTAATATTCACTACATTGTTTAAAAACAAACAAACAAACAAACTACGATGTAACTAATTCAGGACATATTTAGACACTGTATCTGGTCTTGCTATTTGTATCTGACATTGATATATTACTATTGGGGAATTTGACTATTTTAAAAGTTGTACTGGTACAAGTTATTTCTCTAATGTACTGAATTCCCAAACTCGGTCTACAGCACCTTTCTTGTGGTCTGCACCAGCTCTTTGTGGAACAACTGATATAAAGAAAAAAGGAGATCTTGGTATCAGATTTTCACAGAATCACAGAATTGTCTAGGTCGGAAGAGACCTTCAAGATCACCAAATCCAACCTCTGACCTAACACTAACCAGTCCTCCACTAAACCATATCCCTAAGCTCTACATCTAAACATCTTTTAAAGATCTCCAGGGATGGTGACTCCACCACTTTCCTGGGCAGCCCGTTCCAATACCTAACAACCCTTTCAGTAAAGAAGTTCTTCCTAATATCCAACCTAAAATATTAGGTTATAATATAAATAAAATATTTCGATAGAGTTCCTCACAGTGGAAGCAACTTTCACCTCAGGATCACAAAACTCATCATCAATATTTTTTGGGAAATTGATATTTCCTTAGAGTTCTACACTGTGAAGGTAAAGAAATACACCAGTCTATCAGCATGTGTTTTCTAAGAAGACTACTCTTGCCCCTGAGTGAGCTTCAAAAGTTAAGCCTCAGGGACTCAAATGCCACAAAATGAAGAAATATACTTCATTTTTTATTTATTTATTTTTAAATTCTAAAACATAAGGAGAAAGTTTGAAGTTAATCTCAGTAGGAGTCTGGCCTCTGCTTGTTGACAGCAGTATCAATCCTAATTAAACACTTTATAGATCATCCTGAGAGAAAATGGACATTTTGCCTTCGGTTCATTTAAGAGAGAGAGAAAACGGTGTGAGGTGTTTATGAATACATCTCATCCTGCAAGACTTCTTAACAGAGGACAGAGTTCTTCAAACAGTGGAGGTGACCCTATTTAGAGGGAATGGCTGTAAGAGATATGCATCATGGGGAGGGAGAGTCCAAAGAAAAGCAACTTGCTTTACAGTGTAGGATCACACTAATTACCACAGGGAAGAAGGGAAAATATAATATTTTGCTGAAAAAGAAGCTATGAGGCATGGCAGCTTTGAAACTAAATTGTTGGTGCCAGCATTTTAGTAGGCCACTAGACGTCAATGTCTGCTGGAGCTGTCCTGAGGAGCTCCTTTCCTGCAGCACTGACAGAAAAACCCATTGCGGAAATAATGAAAAAGCACCTCTGGTCATTTTGCCAAGCTGTGCTGCCCCCTGAAGGTGAACACAATGCTGCTTAGACCTACTCCAGCACTGTAAACTATACCCTGACTAACCCTGTTCTGAAACAGGGGCCTAGGAGGAGACAACCAAGGAAAGAGAGGAGGAGAGGAAAGAGATGGGTTCAACTCATCCTGCCCAGCACACACAGTACACTCTGTCATAAGTAAAAATATCAGTGTGCATCCTCCTCATATAATGGGTGAGCTATTGCTATTCTTCCCTGGCCTCTGCCACTTGCACACTCATGGATACACTACTTCAAGCAACAAGTCCTAAACCAAGCCACAAAAACAAGCAAGCAATGGGTTAAAAAAGAAAAACCACCACTCAAATTCACGTAAATTAAGCTTGTCAGAAGACTTCCTTGTCTTTAGGAAGAATTTTGCTCAAAGCTTTCGCATACTATCAGTATTATTCACCTCCAGGCCTCATCTGAGGCCTGCAAAGATTTGTCAGGCCTCCTGTCAGCCTACTGACAGTTCTGTAACCCACTGTTCAGACCAGACAGGGAGGTTGTTGACCAAAACCTCTGGCCAAAATCTAATTTAAAGCTGAATTACTTTGGTAGTTTCAACTTCTTGCAATACACAAAACCTAACATTACTAGGAATAAGTCTGAAATGTCTTCCTTGTAATTCTAAACCTGTATTCACCCTTTGCTGGTATTCTTCATCCCTAAATCCCCTGCCCAGCATACTCCAGAAGCATGCACCAGGAATACCCTCTAGTATTTGACCCAAATAGCAACACTCAATGTCTTCCAAATACTAGCCTAGCAAAGAAAAACACAACTGTGTTTTTGTAACTGTCTTCATCATTCATATTCAAGTAAATATTGAGTTAAACTGATCTCAAAGAAATAAAAATCTACTAATGGATGTTTAACGAACCAATATATAATGTTCTACACCATGACACTTCTCATATGCATGTAACAACGTAAATGTTAATATCTAAATCCTCACAGATATGGCAAGCCTTACATCCCGCATTAGTATGTGTATGCACCTGGTCAGTCACTTCACATTGAAGTTGAGAGCTAATTATTTTCTGGCTATCACATATATCAAGAATGCTCATGGAAAGATTTTTCAAAGTATGAAAAATTTCTCCCCTTCAAGTACTACATCTGGTCCCATACATTTTATCATTATAATATTACCCTGAAAGTTTTAATCTTTTTTTTTCCCAAAGATTGTTACTCTTTATAATGGGACAGACACTATAATTATCCATTAACAAATGTAGCCATATTATGATTTCACTCACCTGCATTGTTTTCCAACAGATAAAATGCAAAGTCCCTGATAGACACCTGAACAGCTCACAGTTTACACTTACTGTATTTTCTTTATCATATCAGAAATGAGGATTGATCCTTTGTCAGCATTTAACAGAATCATCTTCTGAAATTTCTATTAGTGCATAACTTGTCTATAATATTACGTGAAAGTCAATCCCTACCACATCTCCATCCCCATACATCACATCATACATCTATTGGTAAAGAATATTTCATTACCTTCATAAGTCTCACCTAAACAAACAAACAAAAAATCCTGCAGTTTCTAGAGAATTTACATATTCTCCATGTTTTTGTCTTTGTTCCCATTTATCTAAATATCTTGAAAGGGCAGAGACAAATTCACAGAAGTATTTTCTACCCTACTAAACCATCCCATTGTGATGAATACAGGTACTTATCTGAGAAAGAACACACAGAAGCACATAAAGAATCTGACTCAAATCCTCTAACAGTAAACATCCATTTGATCAGTTTAATTTCAGAAACATTTATATTACTGTAATCCTTAACTTAAGTTCTATGCTTTGTTTGTGGAGTACAACTTAATATGGCTACCACCAGGCTGGGAACCTCAGAATAAAATCAATTTCAATACAAGTAACATTTGGTCAAGGAAAGACAGTAATAATTTTTTTCATGAACTGTTAGCAAAGATTTTTTGGGTTGTGTACTGAAAAACTTTCATCAAGGCTAGAGTCCAACAAAGTATCTTGAAACATAGGAGCAATCAGCTGAATTTCCTCCTCCAGGAAAGTTAGCTTCCTGACTTGGAATCACATCTTCAGACCACAAACCTCCTGGTCTGCAAAAGCTGCTCTGAACGAACTCCAGATGTACAGTCATGGCATTCCTTTTGATCTAAGCTCCATACAGCACCGAATACCTCAACTGTCAAGAAGTATGTCTGCAACTCGTGTGTACCAGGTAGTCAGCCAGCAGGTGGCTGGGTTGTATCACACATGCAGCACAAAAAGATGCAAGGAGCTCAGTATCACTCCAATGCAAACCAGTTTTCCTCCCTCCCTAAAAAATGAAATCTTCATTTACATTAGCAAATGTAAATTAGTTACATTAGTTAGGTATCTGAATTTAAAGTTTTTAAGAACTGTCAAATACTGCAAATGATATAAAGCAGAAATCATTGTTCAGTGAATATAACAGATTTGAAAAAAAGATTCAGTATAATAAAAAAATCTGTAGTAAGTAAACCTTTAGGAGGGGATTTAGTACCTTTCTGGCACCCCTTCTCTCAGAGAGGTCAGCAGAGCCACATCCTTCATTTAGTGGGGACATATTAGTAGCAGAATAGCAAGAGATGATCAGAAGTTATACACAAAGCATGCTAAGTTTTGATTTCAGCACATTTGATTTTCAACACATAAACTAAGCAGGATCAGCAAAGGAATTCCTGATAGCCATCATGTAACCACCACAGGCCTGGTACGAAAAGTATATGGGGTATGTAGCAAGCAAATCCTGAGTAATTACTAAGCAAATCTAGCTGTAACTGCAGTGTGCTCTTGTGCAGGAGGCAATTTTCAGCCTCCTTTACACATCCTATTCATTGGTGGCCAGTCTATTCCATGTTGCTTTAACAAGTGCAGACAGTTGCCTCAGTGGCTAGTCAGCATCTCCATAATGAAAATCTCCTTAGCTAATTATCTACTGTGATTCCAGCCAAAAATGGTCCTCTTATTCTACCCAACAAGTAATTGTCATAGCCATGTGCTGTTTCAGCAGTTACTGGCTTTTCAGCAAACCAGACCACTGTGCACTTATGATTGAAGAGAAAAAAAAAAGAAACCAGCACTTAAATGAAGGAATGCTGTCAACATCCGGGACATTGCCATGACCTTTTATTCCACTTAACAGAAATATTCACCCAACAATCCTGGATGTGGATGTTTTCATTAGAGAATTTGGCTTTATCTTCCTATTATAACAGCAGGAAGTCAATTTTTATGTCTCAACTTCCCAATTAAAAACAAGCAGAACTGCTAAAACACAACTCAAAATATGCGAGGGTGTTTTGCTACCAGGAATTTCCTTTCCAAAAGCATTTCTCAGAATGTCATGACACAGTAACAATTTTAAGTGATGTAACTTTAAAAACAAACATAATACAGCCATTTTCATGACTATTCTACTTCTAGAATCATTTTGGACTTGCTGTGGAAAGCACGCATGATAAAGCTAAAGGAATTTCAAACTTGCAAAACTACAGTAATGTCACAAGAACATTTAAACATATGCAAAGACACTTTTCAACAACTTTATTGGTTTAATAAATGTTGTTGTACAAAATTTCTCTGGAACATCACAAAAGAATTACAGTGTAATTATATTTTGCTTATAATATTTTAATGGGGAGGTACAATTTTTTTTTTTGAAAATAAACATTCTAAAATTTTGAAATGGATACTGATTTTAAAAAGCAGCATGATAATATTCCTTGTCTCTCAGCAAGAGTAAAAAATACAAGCCTCATTGTTTTGCACTATTAAATTTGAACCAGAGGATGACAGTACTATATTGGCTAAGTTTACTTTTGCATTTCCATATTGCTTAAGTGGAATTGTTTACAAAACTACTTTAGAATAACAGCAGTAAAATGAGAAGTATCTCAGAGGCTCAGTGCTTTCATACTTTCAGCCACAGGAATACAGGGCTGAAACTATACAGGGAATTTTCATCCCAATATACATTTATAAATCATAAAATGAAAAACATTCAGAGCAAGCGCATCATGTTTTTTGTTCCTTAAAGAAGTCCATTCCTTTCAGCTCTTCTGGGAGATAGTCCTGTTCTACAGGTTCCTTGTACATGGGATTATATTTATAGCCTTTACCATAGCCCAAGTTCTTCATAAGCCTTGTTGGGGCATTTCTCAGGTGCAGTGGAACAGGTGGTAGAGGTCCTGTGTGCATTCTCAGACATTCTTTCACATTGTTGTAAGCCTTGTACACCTCTATAGACTTTGGTGCTCTTGCAAAATACACTACACATTGTGCTAGAATGACCTGGAAACAAGAAAAGGGAAAGCATTAAGTGATTTCTTTTAAGCTGTTTGGGAAAGGAACTGTTATTCAGACATTTTGTGCAGCTTGAGAAGACCTTTATTTTTATACTGACCTTGCGGGCTAGGTCAGTGAATATTATTAAACAACAATTCAGTTCTTTATGATAGAATAGAAAAGAATAACTAGAAAAGAATAACTAATTTAGAATGTCAGAATATATGACTATTTGTAACGGAGGGAAAACAGAAGAGATAGATAAATATTAAATTAGTTCAAACACCACTTTTTAACATCAAACACGCAGTGAAATTCAAACTACAGCTTCTATTTTTAGAGCTACAATGATCTGTTACTCAAAAAGTGTTGTGCAGAATGAGCAAATAACTAAATTTACCTTGCCCTTGCAATCTCTGTTTCTTTTTTACAGTTAGAGCTAGGTTTTACAATTTACAGTACTTTTATATCAGTAAATTAAAGAAGCCTTTACCTCACATTCTGGCATTCCAATGAAGTGACAACCTTGATAGGCAGCAACTGCTTGCGTTAAAGCCAAAGGATCTGCCAGTCCTGCAGAAAAGGATCAGATGAAAGCAGGTTAAAGTCAGTTTACTTTAATTACCTTTCCCCCCGCCCTTCTTCTTAGAAGGAAGATTATTTATGCACACTGCAGAGGTGCTGCATCAGATGGCAGATCATCTGGTACAATACTTGAACAGTACATAAGATATACTTTCTTCATCCAAAACCTTTATTTTTCTATGCTGTCCTCCAAAAAAAAAAAAAAACCTGAATCTTGTGCCACACAGTGGCAGCCTGAGCAGTAGCAGATAGTGTATGATTCACTTACTTTTTGGAATTGAAAAAGTGGGGAAATATGCTGTATAGACTTAGCTTACCCAAATCTAGTAACTCTTCACCCATCACATGCACTAAAAATGTTGCTGCATGTGTTACATTGGAAAACAAAAAGAAGATGCCTTAAAACTACAGAGCCAGCTATCAAATCTGAAGTTTGAATAACAGGATAGGCTTTTACTTTCCACAGTTACTAAAACAAATGAACAAAGAAAAACCCAGACATCCCTGAAATACACATTCTCTGTGACACCAGTTTATTAGAGACCTACAATCATCACCAAAGCTGAAAGAATATAAGTACACTGTCAAACCCTAACCTCAAGAAAAATCTTTGTTTTTCCTGCAGTAGATAGTCATCGCAATGACATCAAACACAGGTTTCAGTGTGCATATACTAAACTTTTGTCAGGTATTGTGCATTTCAGTATTTTGTACCTATTCCACATGTAGCATTTATTTCCCCCCTGTATCAATCTTTGGAAACCAGAATACTGGAAGATCTGAATTCAACATAATATTCCAACACGAAATACTGCAATCGCTTACCTATATCTTCACTTGCAAATCTTACCAGCCTCCTCGCCACGTAGAGTGGATCCTCACCACCCTCAAGCATTCGAGCAAGCCAGTAAAGGGAAGCATTTTCATCTGAGCCTCTCATAGACTTATGCAGGGCAGAGATGCAATTGTAATGTTCTTCTCCTGTTTGGAATGGGTGAGAAGAAATATACAAAGCTATTTGGAGGAAATCAAGTGAGATACATTTGAAACAATAGAATATATTTTACCAAGTCACAGTAGGTAAACATAACCTGCTTTTTCAAGTTCTTTTTATGCACATATCATTATGTTGTTCATCAAAGCATAGCATGAAGATGCTGAAAACAACCAGAACCATTCCACTAACTATATAAGCATATCAGAGCAACAGCAGATGAAAAGGAAAGTTTTTTTTTTCTTTTAAACATTACAAGGCAAACAATTTGATTTTGATATCCTATGACCTTTCCTTCAAAAGTAGGAAACAAAACTGATATTTTAAGCAGTTAGGAAGAAGATCTTGTATCTCCTAATTCACAATAGGTAAAGTATGAGAATGTATAAACCATCAAACATTGCTTTTTGACAAATACATGTAGGTAGCACTGAGGAGGCAACTGAAGAGAAAAATGTTGTATACACTGGTGGTATTTTAGAAAAAGATATTTCACATCAAATAAAATTTAAAAATGAAGCGTGCAGTAAATGAGATGTGAATTTGCTATATTATACATGGAAAAAAGAAAATATTGCTGTAATTATATAATGACGACACTACAAAATTTGGAGGAAATAGGATCACAGCACACAGCCCTGACAAAAGCACTACAAAATCCTCAGCTCAGATGGGACAACTGCACCCTTTTAGGAAGGGCTCTAAAAATTATAACCAGTTCAAACAACACCAAAAAAATTAAAAAGCACCACCTCCAACAACAACAAAAACCAACCAACTATCTGAAATACCAGACTGCTAACTAAAGGGGAAACAATGATTTACAAAGAAGTTTTTTTTTTAAAAAACATTAAAGTTTAATATAAGATTAAGTATGAATTCCAAGCAGAAACAAAGCCACTTCACAGATATTTTAGGGCTATTGTTAAAAATAGGGGGGCGCAATATTAGAAACACGGAGACCCCTCCTGCTTGCAACTTTTTTGCCATGCAGCTGGGTTTGATTCTTATGCGTATCTTTTAATCAAACCTATAAGAGTATTTTGCTGTGATATGGTTTTTATACTCTCCACATAATCTGATTTTTTTTTTTTTTTTTTACTTCTCAAAGTGCCTGGCATTCCTTGGCTCACAGCTAACCATATTATGAAGGCAACTGGCTGCGTGCACAGCCATCTGTTAACATTTCTCTTCTTCCTACAGCTAAAAGGATTTACAGCCTCAGGGCTGTATCAGAACACATCACTGTCCTTTATAGTCCCTGCAAAATAAAAGGCTGCACATATCATTAAGAAAACCAAAGCCTCCATACCACTGCAGTTGCTCCTTTCAAAATCAGAAAGTCTTCCACCTTCCAGATTAGAAACTGGGCCCATCTTCCAGTGTTGCTGCTCATGCTGCACTGCGGTTCTGTGGGGAATTCAGAGTGTGCACTCCCCGCGTACACAGGCCTGCAGACAGCTATTTTTGATAGGACTGCACACAAAGAGCCCTGTGGTATGTAGTCATTACTCATGCCAACATAAACAGCGTATCTGTGCTCTGTCATAGCACTTGAGTTAGTGGCAATAAACCCAAGCAGCTGGACTCGCATCATCATCTTGGGAGAGGCGTCTTTTGGTCTCTCAAAAGGAAGACAGCCTTTAAATATCTTGAAAGGTTGCATTTGCCTGGATTTTTGCTTTTTTGGGGGGGGATGAAGTGGTTTTATACACTGCTTGGGCTACTGTAATGTGTCGTGCCTGGGAAAGCCAACTAGAGAAGCAAAAGGAATCCAATGGATAGGTTAGGACCAGAGACAACAACCCTCAGAGTACATGGCTGAGGAAGGGAACAGTTTCCTCTCTTTATTTCCTTCCTCAGAGTTATGTGTGACTGACTTACCAACATAATGACAGTATTTATATACTGGACAGACTTATTCAGAAAACCTGCGGAATTATTCTTAAAACCTCTTTGTCCAATGCATGTAACTGTATATTTTTCCTTCTTTTGAAACTGTGTTTTATGAATCTTTTTTAAATATGCAGTTTATACTCTATCAGATACCAGAAACAGTTTAAAAAAAATTAGACAGGTCTCTTTAGAGACCCTGTGTTTATTAGCCCTGTTTCTCATGCCAGTTAGCCACTACATAGATTCTGGCCTTATGAATTCAGCTTCCAGAGATACATATGCAAAGTTATCACTGCTGCTCTGCATCCCAGATGCCTCTTGAAATCAAATCTCTGAAGAGTTTTTGGAATCAAAACACAACTGTTCTATTAAGTTCCCACACAAGCAAATACCTTTCCTAAGAGAAACAAGACACTTCAGAAAAGGTTTCAGGGAAGATAGTATTTTCTAGAGTATCTCATGTATATAGACACATAAATCATGCTGATTCTCATTTTTGTGCCCCTAAATCACTCATGTGCTTAAGAAGAGTTTTCCAGCTAACTTAAGATGTTAATTTCTCTAAGGTCTTATTGGTAGTAGACAGGTTAAAAAAAAAAAAAAAAAAAACCTTATTCACTGACCATGGTTAGTGTCTGGACTCCTTAAGCAACCGCTAATTATAGTGAGCCAAAGAAATGTAACAGTCACTGTCTCACATTATTTTCTGTCTTAGTCAAAGGTAAAGTAGAGAATAAAGCCTTGGAAGAAAGACTAAAGTAACAACATTGGTAAAAAGCCTTCTTGTTCTGGCCCAGCAGAAAACAAAGCTGGCAAACAAATACAACAGAACAAGACATCTTCTCTTTCCTCCTTCATAAAATAGGGTAGCATAACATTACAGGTTACATTCTGTAATCTGGAACACCTTATCTTCATCTCAACATGTTTCTCTTCTTTACCATAGTTAATTACCACCGTTAACACATAGATAGAGACAAAATCTTGCAATTAGTCTGATTTTTATTTTTGGTATTCACTATTAAAGCACTGGAAACAGTGCGCCACAATACATAAAAGGAAGAAGAGACAACACAAATCTGTCTTAAAAATCAAGTCTTTGTCCATCTGTAGTTAATTAATTTAGCTGCTGCATCATTTTCTCCAAAAATCAAAATAAAAAGGAACTACATTTAAAAGCTAAAATATGACTGAATAGTTTGTTTTCTCTCACGTTGTAAGGGCTGCAGGCTGTTCCTGGAAGTGAAATTTGACTGGTGGTTTCTTTGTTCTGCCAGCTAAAACACAGATTATCTATGCAAAGATCTTGGCTGTACCCAAATCAAAGCAATAGGCCAATGACTGGATTAAGAATAATTTCCTTCCTAGACTACTCGGAGAAAGTACATGAAGGCATGCATGACCATATACATTTGGCAAATACTGCTTAAGGTGAGCAAAACTAAACCAAATAAAAACTGGATTCCATATTTAAGATTGAAGCCCACTTTTTTTTTTTAAGAAGGCTGTAGATTCCAGCACAAGAACTGAGATTCAAGAAGTATTGAAGCATACTACAAAAATATTAATATTTATACAGTAGCCTCTATCCAGAAACACTTTATACATGAAACATAATAGCTATCTCTATTGTTGCCAGAAGTGATCAATCCAGCCCCAGACTATTCTATTCTGCAAAGGAAAGTTTAAAGGCACATACCCAGGCAACTTTCTACTGTGACATTAGCAGCCAGAGTTTTTTTTTTTTTTTTTTTTTTTTTTTTTTTTTTACTATTTATGCAGCCAAGAAAGAGGATTTTCAAAATCTGACAAAAACCACACAAAGATCAAAAAAAACTATTGACACACACCACCTAGACTTCATGCAGGCCTTAGGTGGAGGCACTCTGCCATCTCAAACTAAGCAAATAGGAAGAGGATGGCTGGGAGCAATGGCCACAAATGAGTTGTGAGACAGCAGCCACAAGGCGACAGCAAACACACAAGGGACCTCCACAGCACATGAGAATCATACCAGTAAACTGGTCAGATTTTCCCCTTCCTCCTTCTCCTTACCCATGACTTCTTCCTGCCAGATACGCCATAAAAATGTTTCTTCTCCCTCCCCCTAACTAACCTTCCATTCTCAGCTGCCAACGTATCAGTATCTGCACAGCTGACTTACTGACAATGAGCCATCATTTCCTCTTTGTAGAAAGGCTGAGAGCAGGCAAATGCATTGCAAACAACCTCTACAAATTTCACCACAGCTTTTAAGCACTGACACTTAATTCAGCAGATCAGATACAGTGGAAAAACACTGCCTGGCATAATTGTCTGATACTATGGCAGAGTAATTCAAGTATTGCCGAAGAACTAGCACATGCATTCAAGGCGATTCGTGTAATTTCAAACATTCAATCTCTGGCCTTTAACCATCTGCATAAATAGGTACAGGCCAGCTCCTATGGTGCCTAACATTGCCAAGTTACAAGTAGAGCAAGAGTGGTTACCCCATTAAGAAGCCTGAAATGCAACTAGATTTATGTAACCTGTACTAAGAAGGTTACTAAATTCATTACCTCTAAAAGCAATTCTAAAAATATAAGCAAACTGCAACAGAGCATTACCAACCTTCCAAGAACAAATCTTCTCATCGAAATACTACTTCACCTTGCAATCCTCTTAGACCTCAATATTCTAATAACTTGAAGGAACAAAATAATTTCACCTGTTTCAACTGTTAGACAGACTGCAAGCAGGTCTCTCAACTAACCTATGCTTCCTAAGCAGTGAGAGGAAACTATTTAGAAGGAATTTCTGGATGAGCCTGCTATACTGTAAAGGAAATGCAACTTTTTAGGCCAGATTTCAGTACAGCCACTGCTTCACCAGAGCACTTGGTATGAAAGGGGAGAAGCAGTGGGAATTACAGAAGCTCTTCAGAATGCTGCATGGCAAAAACTGTATCAGCTACCCACCTGCTCGGTCATACAGGATGTGAGATCGTTGTAGACCTTCCTTTACATGTTCTTCTGTTATCAGAACTCCATCAACAGAGCATCCTTTGGCAGTACTCACAGGAGTGGTCTTCCCTGCTGCCAGCCTGGCCTGAACTGCTAACTGAAGTCCGTTCAATCCAGTCCTTGCATCACCATCACAAAGGTAGGCTAGGGTACTTAGAGCCTTCTCCTCTATGTACACGGGGAATCTGCAACAAAATGACAAGATGTTATCCCACACTGTGCTCCTCTCATTGCGTATTGTGCTAAATGGTGCATTTCTTTGCAAAGTCTGCTGAGAGGCAACTGGGCTTACGTTTTGTCCTTAACTCATTGTCATGATTAAGCACTGCAGGATCTGGGATAAAATTGTGAGATCCCACCCCTCGACTGCCTGTCTAATTCTTGTTAAATACAATGGCAGACAAAAAAAGAACAGAAGCTCTCATCTATTTAATCTTTTTTTTTTTTTCCTTGAGATTACCTCCTCTCACCAAGTTCAATGGAAACTAAGGGTAGGTTTTTGCCAGAAGTGCAGTTCTGGCACAGCCATTTGAACATCGCGAGGTTTTACTCCATCAGCGTTTCATAGCTAGCAGTTAGAATTCCTTGGGCAAAGGACAATGAGGAAGCTACCCAAATGCATGAGATAATATAGTGATGCACAAAGTAACTATCGAGTATTTGAACTAATGGTTACTGACATTACGAGCTGGTATCACATGTTCTTTAAAAAGCTATGGCAAGAAGCACTGATGTAAATCAAAGCATATATGCATCCCACCTTCTTATTTGAAATGGTGACAGGTACAACTTCAGTCGTTGGGGTACAAAACAGATTGCAGCACAGAGAAAGGCTGTGAAATCCCAGAAGAAATCCCAGTGCACAAAAGTCCCTGTTCTTGCCATCCACTGCTTTAAGCACACCAGGGCTATGAGAAGGCATCATAACAAAAAGGCTGAATTCCAGTGACCACACAGCATGAATGAACAGGACAGGAACAGCTGAGAAACGCAGGAACAGGTGAAGGCTTTGCCATGGTCTCGTAGCTGATCTAGGGGAAATCTGGGAAAGTAAAGCACTCCATCTCTTTCTCTAGGTTTTCATTCACTGGGATGCAATCCCTGCTCCCAGTGCCATGCAAACCACCGGACTCTGCACATTGCACATGCACATTGTTGAGTATTTGACCCTCAAACTTCAGTTGCATAAAAAAGTTAACTGCTAAGGTGTTTGCCAGACATGGGACACTGCTGATTTGAAAACAGAAGCCGATGGAGTTAAAGCATGACACAAATAATCACCTTAACTTGGCCATTTCTAGTAACTGGACTTGGAGAAGGCAATTTCTAATGAAAATCTCTTGCACCAAGTTATTAGGGATTCACCAACAGCCCTGCACCTCATTCACCAGAAAGATTTACTGCTGCTATTACCAGTGGTTTACAAAGAGATAATGCCAGTGTTCCCAGACACGCAGCTCTACTAATCTTCATTATTTGGCCCACCTCTTTATGGGGCTATGAAAAATGTTTTTGTTAAGCGTGCAGCAGCTGCAAGCAGCTCTGCAGCTACAGGTATTTGAGCAGCTCCGAACTCCCCCTTATTCCCATGCTAGTCAGAAGTAGTCTGAATGGCAACGTTAGCTTCCAAAAACTTGCACTTGGTGTTTGAAACACCCTCTGTGTCTGAACGGGGAAACAGCAGAGTGTAACACCACAGTGCCTTAATTCTGTCAAGTAGCTTATACATCAAGGTACTTGGAAATCAAGGAGTGATGCCTACTCTCACCACTACAGGTGGGCACCAGATTTTTATATATGCATTGAAACAGGACAGCAAAGAAAGCAAAGGCCATCTGTAAAAACGCAGCAGGCACTACACACAGACATCCTGCTGCTAAAACCTCCATCAACAGGGAACAACACCAAGTAGGCAGTAAACTGAGCAAACACCTCGATACGCTACCAGGGCAGATTGAAGAGAAGGTTTCACATGTGAACCTGCAAAGAATCCCAAAAGAAGGAATGTTTCAGAGCCCTGTTACCATTTAATTGCTAAATGAAAGCACCATAAGATAGAGGAGTTTTTTTTTTTTTTAATTATTATTTATTTTACTTGACTGTTAAGTGTGCTACTGACTCAACACCAGCATTTAGCATTACAGAAATTAAAATAAAAATGCACGAGGAGGTATGTAAAAACCTGGTTACAAGCAAGTTCTTGTCATGCTTCCATGGTGAAATCCAAGTTACAATACATTGGTAACAAAAATTTTACTCCAAATAATGTGTTATGTATTAGGCCAATCTAGTCATTGTCTGTAACAACAACAGCACTATACATACAGGCCATGGAAAAAAGAAAAAAAATGAAGAAAACTTCCAACTATGGGCAAGCTGCTCAGTGGTATATCGATGAAGTCAATGATTTGAGATCATGTAATGCTTCCCTAATTCCATAATTAGGGCAGAATCAGCTCAGCATTTAAAAATGATATTTTATACTCAGAATACAGTGAATTCGGTTAGCTTTTCTAAGAAATTAAGATCTTAAATCTCATCACTTGCTAGTATTTGACATTTTTAAGCCCATTCTATTCTCAGAAGCTCAGGCACCCTACACCCTTTCAGTTTACCCTGACTTCCCCACACCCTCAAACTCTGAGGCAGAACAACTCCCACAGGTCCTGACCTCTTCACAAGCTCCTGAACCTCTTGCAGATGGGCAGACTTGTATTTTTTTTCCCTCTCCAAAATTAACACAGTACACCCCCGGATGCCAATGCTTAATGTTGCTACCTCGTAACCGACGATACTTGGAGACAAAAATAAAAACAAGCCACCAGGGACACCCCAGGATCTATCACTCACTGAGCCGAAGGTGATATACTAGCTCAAGTAATGGAAAACTACCACCATGGGGTAATAAATCATTCTTCCAGCTCCCTCCTTATCACAATATCCTCAACACGGTTTGTGCCAAGAACCAATATGAAGCAGCATCAATTACTCGTAAAACCTGTACACAACCAGTGTTTGACACAATCAGAGTAGAGGCAAGGAAGTCCAAGCAAGGAGAAACTGTACAATGAGAGATTTAGAAATAATTGAGCAGAGCATGAGATAAAGTATCCATTGCTTCTTTCACATATAAATCAGTATTTTATTGCATTCATAACGCTATTATTTTCACTATGGTCGCTCCCGGACAGACTGAAACAGTTTTATGGGCAAATATAAATCTTGTCTTAAATGAAGTTGTATAATACCAATTATTCACAGCCTTACAACACTGTCTTTGAAGAAGGCCTCATCCCAGCAACTCTATTTTCAGCAGGAAATTAGATGGGTGTTTCAAAAAGGGAACAATTTTCAAAAGGTGCTCAACGCCCAAGACCCAAAGGAAGCCCGTGTTAAATATTGATTTATAAACCAGCAAATTCAAAACCTGTCAGTACTCGTAGTATAGCCACTAACGAGCTGAATTGCGTGATGTCTAGGCTTGCCAACAGCAAACTGGGAATCTTTCGTTTCAATCAGCCGCATGCCTTCTGGGCTACCTAACTTCAATACATTAATCTAGCATCCAGTTTACCATCTGACAAATCAGAGAGAGCACTCTGAGGGCAGCACCTAAAAATAATAAAAAGCCAAGAATGAAAAGAAGAATTTGATTTCCCGTCAGTGACACAGCACAAGCGCACTGCATCAGTGTGTAACTGTACAGTTTGTGCTGTTACCAAGATGGCTAAAACAGTCAAAAAGCACAAGCAAAATCTCAGCAATATAAAGCATCTTTCATGCTCACGTCTCCTGACTTTTCTTCTTCATGACTGTAAAACCTCCTTTCATAATCTCCCCTCTTTTAGTTTACTGCAGGCTTTATGAGGTACCATTTGATGGCAGCGAAGCTGACAAAGATGTAACGCCAAGCACATCTTATCCTAAAGAAACCCAGTAATTCATACAAAAAAAAAATAAAGAATTTTTTTTAAGTGCAATGACATCACACAGAAAAGGATACCAAATTCTGAAATGGCTTCCAGTGGTTCTAGTTCAGCTTTACGGCAAGAAAAGGATGCAGTGGGATGAAAAAAGCCTAATCTAATCCTATCGGAAACCTTCAGCAACAGAGGAAGCAAGACAAGAGAAAGCCACTGAGCAAACTTAAGGAAACAGATTCTAGCAGAGCACACTTTCGTTTTGGGAACTGCTGCACACACACACAATGCAGAGGCGGTGACACCTGTTGAATCATTCTGCAGTGGCTGTATTCTCACTGAGCTTGAATATACCTGTAGGAACTCTGGAAGACCCACCCTCACACTGCTCTTCAAGGTAAAAGAAGACACTGCAGAGAATCAAGCTCTTCTTCAACATCTCACGTAGGTCCAACATCATGTCAGAAAAGTGTTGTGATACCATCTGATAAAATGATTCCAAGGAGCATGTGCTGAACTTCATACTGCACATGGTTTGGACAGGGAAACTCACTCCTTGAGGAGATTAAATCCATAACACAATGTCCATGCTTCTTCTGGTTGGATCTCTGCATCCCTTCTAAGTGAGTATGCCTCACATATGGGGACATGCTGCCTTACAACACCTTTTCCAACTCCGGAACAGATGTGAGCACAGTGAACAAGCAACTCCACTGTAATTTGTGACATACTTTTGTTTATTCCTCAGGACAGCATGAACTCTTACCTGCCTGCATCTAACGCTAGCCCTGCTTCATAGAGATAGGGAGGTAAAGAGATAAGAGATGCAGCTGCTCCTGCAGAGTGGTAGGCAGAAAGGAAGCGAAGGATCAAAAATGGCACAGAGAGCAAAGCAAGAAGGAATTAAGGAGACCGAAATCTGAACCACAGTAAGGGACAGGGTGGTTAAAAAAAAAAAAAAAGCTAAACTCAACAGCAACAGTATTTATCAACTACAGACCAGAACCAGATAGTGGTAGGAAAGATTAAAAAAAAAAAAAGTTGAACATATAACTGTAACAAAAGCTCTAAAAATCCTAATTCTATTTTCATTTTAAAATGCAGCCTGGCTCCTGCTTAGTCACTGGTATGGGGCACTCTCTCTTCGTGGATAGACTTCTGAAAGCATGCTAGTCTGACAGCCTGCCTGCCAGACTTCTCTCAGTTTGATTAAGCACCACACCACGCTGTTTAAATCATCCATAGCTAAAGGAAGGTTACAGATATGGGAGTCTAGCGAAACCCAAACCCAAACAACTGCAGCTGAAACTATGCCTTCCACTTTAATCCCATACATAAAGGAAAGTCTCCAAACCCCAGCCAGGGTGTAGCCACAACCACAGCTGTGCCCCTACATTAAGGATGACATGCTGCACTGTCCTCTCTTCTGAAAGTCACACTGCTATAACATGCAAAAGCTATAAATGAATAAAAGTGAGGCAGGGAAAAAAAAAAAAGAAGGGGGGAGGGGGAAAGGGACAGCTTTTATTCCCTACCCTGACCTCAGCATTCAGGTTATCGCTTCTTATTGATTCTATTCTGTGATAATGCTAAAAGGAAAAAGCATACTCCCTTCTATGTATTGTATGAAGAGTGCCTGCCCAATTAGCACTGCATTAATGCGCTGTAAATTACTAGCAGTACACACAAGCATCTCCACGAAGAAACTGTCATCTTGCATGGAAGTAGCAGAATCAAGCATTACTCTTATTTGCCAGCTGGCCATTTCAGAAGGCAGATATATGTCCATAGGGGATCTGTCTTGACCTTGGTATTTCCAAAAACTCTCCCAAATGTTTAACACGACTATCTGGTTTGGACAAAAAGGGTCAGACAAAAACAAAATATATTTTAAGATAATCTATTAACATCTCACAGCAAACACCCTCCCCAGCATACTGTAAATCATACCATAGCACTTATACTGCAGCTAAAACACAGCAGTACTCTCTTGATCTCATTCCAAAAAAATTGTCAGAAAACAACAAATTTCATCTGGCACTTCCAAGTTAATTTAACAGGGGATGCCCCATCTGCCACTTAATGGTAATGCGATGCTTTTACAACCACTAACAAGAAGTAACACACATTAGGACGGGACAAAGACTCGGTTACAGGCTTCCACAGCAAATCTCCAGCAGCAGAATGGATTTAAATATCCTGGGAGGGGTGAGTCAGGAGCTACAGATCCAAGTATAAAACTCTCTCCTAATCCAGACGGTGAGATTATGTTTTGGATGGAGAGCCAGTGCTTTGAATTCTCTCTCTCTCTCCTGTCACCCCCCCCGCCCCTGCCATATGCTGCCACCTCTTTTCTTTACTATCAGAAGTGGCTAGGGTTTCTCTTCCCACCCCCCAACTGCTTCATCCTCTCCCTGGCAGGCAGTCAATTCCTCGGGCTGCGCGCGTTAACACCCTGCAGCCCATAAAGTACTCACTCCGAGCTCTCGCTGCTGCTGCCAGTTGCAGAGCTGTCGTGCTGGTCGGCTTTGCCCAAAACCTGGACCCCTAAGGACCTGACGGCCCGCATCAGAATCGCTTCCATCGCCTCCACCGAGAGCTTCTCCAGCACGATCACCCGGCATCGGCTCAGGAGAGCAGCATTGACTTGGAAGGACGGGTTTTCTGTTGTCGCCCCTATCAGAGTCACGGTCCCACACTCAACGTGAGGAAGGAAAGTGTCCTGAGCATGGGAGGGAAGCAGAAAAACCTCATCTCAATCAATGACAACCTGAAGCATCCCATGTGAGTAGGCTGTCTGGCATTTTCAAATACTTTTTTTTTTTTCCTGGTGTTGTGAGTCTTTGCGTTTCCTGTTGATGTGACAAATAACCTCACTGACAAGGCACCTCATCTGTTCGGCTAATTAACTGATTTAATTTCACACACAGAGCACACAGTGGGCTGCTCACCTTGATAACCCATGCCTGCACTGAGAATGACCCTACCAGCTGAAAAGGAAGTGTCAAATATCTGCAAACTTTTAGTTTATGTGACTGTTTTATTGTTTGGCAATCAAAATACCATGAAAACAACTAATATAACAAATAATGAGGCTACTTCTAACTTCTTGAACCAATATTTAGGGCTACATTTTTTTTTCCTACTACCTAATTGAACATGACGTCTGAGAACCGTAGGATCAGAACATGGTTCCATATAAAAACTTAACCAGCAGGCCAAATTTTGATCTTTCCATGGCATGACTAAAGATAATAATACCTAGGAAAAGAAAAAATAAAAAAAATACAACACTCAGGCGATGGCTGCAGCAACATATTATACCAAAGTACCATGCCATGCTTTAATTTTCTGTTTTCACAGAGAAGAGTGCACAACATTAAAGCAAACACACCCTATGCACATCCACATTCCAGACCTCTTTAAGGGTAACATGGAATTTAATCCCCAGCATGGAGGCTGAAATGAAGATATGAACAGCAAATGCTACTAACATGACTTTGGAGAAATAAAATTTCAGGAAAACATCACACAGAGCCCAGCATGCAAGTCAGCTGCAAGCATGGCTCAGCCTTTTATTTAAATCTTCAAATCACAGCAATTACACACTGATGCTTGGAAGTTAGTTACAAATTTAATTTTCGTAACTCTAGTTTATTTACTGCAAATGTTAAAATCAAAAGCCTGAAGTGCACTACCATCTTAAGGCAAAGTGGGGAATTTTACTGACGTTCTGACAAAGGCTGTCTCCAAAAAAGCGATGTAGTACAATACCTGCTGGGATTTGTTGAAACGATGGATCTCGTCGATAAAGAGAATGGTTTTTCTCTTGAAGAGTCTTTTTTCATTCTGGGCTTGACTGATGACATCTCGAACATCATTTGTCTTGGCACTCGTGGCTGACAGCGTCACAAACCTTGTCCCAGTCTTTTTGCTGCTGTTGGCTATGATGTGTGCCAGGGTGGTCTGAAAGAGCAGTAGGAGCTAGCCTTGTAACAATCATTTTGGATACAGAAAGTACTAATGCGCAGACAGTATATAGAGAGCAAAGCTATATATTTAGGACATAGGGACAGTGCTGACAGTTTAGAGAGTAGGATATTTTAGTTCACGCTATTGTGGCTGCCAATTCCACCACTGCATTTCTAGGGCCTGCACTTTTAAGTATCAGTCGCAATATTTTAAGTGCCAGCAGTGACAGCTGCCGTCTTCATCACTGAAGGAAAACTCTTCTCCAGAGACGCTGTTGTTACAGAAGATGGGTTGACTACAATTCACCACGCAACTCTTTTGTAGAGTACATTAAAAGAATGAAGAGCTGGACCATTCCAAGATACCTGCAGAAGAGCTAACAGTGAAATTATTTAAGAAAGAAAAAAAAGCTACATAAACATTGTTAACTAAAGCTTTTTCTATTTCCACCCCTTGTAGTAATGAAATTAATCAAAAAGCAGCTCTCTACAAAAGGTATGAGAGTTAATAGTGAAAAATTATATGCATAATTCAGAGAATATAACTCTAAATCTGAATAGTCAGTAGTAACCAAGTGCTGGCTCAGGGAGGTAAAGGGCTGCTGGCTGGACAAAACATTGCCTGGTTTTAATGAGCACTCACATTGTTTCCCTTTCCTTGTAGACAACTCCTTCCCAACACAATTTATTTATAGGGAATTTCACTGCACCCACTAAAGCAGAGAAGCAGCCTACAGCACTACTTTGCACATAGATTGAGTACACCTGAACATGGGCATAGTTTTCAGTCCTTCCTTCACTCCCCTTTGTAAAGGCAAGAGTATCTGCATGTCTTGAGCAGTGCATCTCTGTTTCAAAGTACTGCTAGAGAAAAACAGGTGATTCTTCCATCAATCTTGCTTCTTGTAAAGAAGGAGTCCAAGGAGACTGAAGCCAGGAGAGCCTCAGCAGCTGAGGAACAGGACAGGTGCTGACAAAACTGCTTCAGAAGATATTCTAGGTACTTGGGTTAATGCAGCAAGTGCTCTAAACCTGATCTTCTTGCAGAGAGACTGCAGAAGCAACCACCTACCAGAACTTCCGTCTCCTTAATGGATTTCCACATCCCTGAAACAGCAACCAGACAGAGATGAGAGAAGGGAAGCGAAGGGGAAGGATATATAATTATTTATCCATGCTTTAGCTTTAGTAAGGGGTTCCTGTCTGGTTTCAGAAGAGGTGTCATTTCATCTCTTGATGCAAGATACGAGTCCTGTGTCAGATCCCATCTCATCTGCTGGAGCTCAAAGCGCCAGCCCCTTCCCTCCTGAGCATGCTGCAGAAGACAAGACTGGGACGATACTCTGGAAAGTGCTCACGGCCAAGCCTACAGACATCAGGGAGGGCTAGAAGACCAGGAAAAAAAGGTGATACTTAAGACTTTGCTAACAGAATAAAACCATAAAACTAAAAAGTTAGAGTTTCCTTACAAATGGGACTTGATTCAGAATGGACCTTTGGAGGATTTATCCATACCCCAAAACCACTGAAAGTGTGGAAAATGACAATACATCAAATCTGAAGATGAAAAAGGAAAAACTACCTCTTCCTTCTCTAAAAGTAGCAGTGGCAAGAGAGGAAAAAAAAAAAAAAACAACAACCAAGTGGCTATTCTTCTTATAGCTCCACTTCAACTGGTAGCTCACGCTTCATCAACATCAGGTCTCAGAGATGAAGGGCCTGGTTACAGTCAGCATAAATCTAAGAACACATCTAAATTGAGGCATTCAAGTCTGCAGAGATCACTTTTTCTACACCCAGAGCGAACATGTTTTGTTTTGTTTTTTTTTTCTATCAACCAGCACAGCTGGTATTGCAAAAATTGCGAGTTTTGACTCGCAAGATATATGAGTATAACAAATGATAGTTGTTAGCCAAAAAGAAACTGCTTTTAGCTGAAGCCCAATTTATTTTCCTGCTTTTTCTCAAGCAGAAGCCCGTATTATGCTACACAAAAAGTCAAGAACCATGACTCATTAATAACCTTTAACTTGAGCCTGCAGTCACTTATTTCCAGATCTACCACACACAGGACACCTAAATACCAAAGCTCTCCTTCACTGGAAATTTCTTCATGTCAACCCAAATTAGGACTTCCTTCCCCAAAGGCTGCAACAGACCAAGATTTAAACACCAAGATTTGTTTCCTTGCTTGGGCAGCTCTCTTTGAACGTAACCTGTTTCCTTATTCTGTGCTGCCACTAGTAAATGCAACCTCACCTCCAGGGCTGGAAGAGAACAGGAAAAAAAATCAAGCACAAACGAAGCCTGTCCCACTTATGCTGATGTTCAATGACTTTACGTTAATTGGAAACAAGGTGGTGGTTTCATTTTCGCAGCTTTTTACCAGGTGATTAAATGACACCCACTGTATTAGCTTACCACAACCCCTTCTAAAAATTAAGTGATAATGCCTAGCTCTCTTCAGAAACTGAAAAACTTGGAAGAGTAGTGTATATGGGCTGATCATATGAATCCCTAGTCAAGAAGTTGTCTGTGAAACCTAAGGTCATCCTTACCTCTCTGCACTGGCAGATCTGGTAGACCTTGTTAATGAATCTCAGGCAGACCTTGCAAACGAATCTGCCTGTGGCTTCCTGTTCACAGAGCCTTTTCCTGTCTGTTCTTAACTTGCACGAATTTGGCAAAACAGCTGTTGCAGATGCTGGTCAAAGAAAACACACCGAGCCTCAGGTGTCATCATGTAGCTTGATGAGCAGTCACAACAGGCTATGCCTGGTTGCACAGCCTCATGAGGGGTGCCAACAGTGCCAGCACCCTTAGACTGCAACTGTGGAAGCAGCTCCCTGGGATACAGCTTAAAAAAATGGGGTCTGTCCTATCCAACACCGCTGAGTTGAACCCAGGCTACCACGCCGTGTCACAAGAGACACGGGTCATGAGTCAGGTTATGCCTAAAGGAAATTAGAACAGCAGATGAGCATGGCTTGGGGACGCTGCTTATTGAGATAAATGCAATCAAAAGTGGCAGCAGTTGGCATTTATATAAGGGCAGATGCTATTCTTACTCCTCTTGTTTGGTTCCTCGCACCCCAAATAGCCCACAGGGAGACTACTGGAGGAGTAAGGTGTCACTGAACCAACAGCAAGTGGCTTCCAGCACTTCCAAAATCCAAGCCAGACCTGGCATAAGCAGAGGCAAGGTCACTGTGTGGCATTTTCTGAAGCAGAGCTGTGCCCCCATTTGCTCCACCCAGGTTTGTTTCATTACGCTTTACAAACACAATGAGCCAACTCCACTCTTCTCAGAGAACTACACAATGTTATTGCCAGTTTAAATTGACATATGCAAACTTAGGCATGCAGTATTTGAAGACTTCGCCCATGAAACTGCAAAGATGAACCCACTTTTCAGAGCTTTTCTGAACTCTTAAGCTCCTGTAAAAGACACCGCGCATTTTCAGTTTAAAATCTTACTTGCCACCTGTGTTTCAACGCACTACATGATAATCCCAAATAAGAACAGAAATAGTAAGAAGAAATAGGGAACTCTTAGAGATAAAATACAAACTCAGTGGAGATGTGATGGAAACCAAAGATCACTTGCTGTTGTTGTGTGGCTTTTAAAAACATTTTGCACTCTATCAACACGGCATATTTTAACTTAGTACCAGATTGCATGCACAGACCCCAAGAAAATCACGCACGAACACTTTGTGATGTTGTTTACAGGGAGCAGGTTCCAGCTACTTGTTGTCTTCTTTTCACCCCCTCCTCATTAAATGACACACGTAAGAGGGAATGTTTACCATACTTAAAAACAGAATGTTCGGGCTTATAAAGCTTAAACCGTATCTGTGGCAGCAAAATTATTCTCTGCTCAAGTTACTCGTGTCCCCCCGCTAACTCTACTAAAATTGGTGCCCCCGTGGCAGACAGGCAAAAATGTAAATCCCTGCATTAAGGTGTCATAAATCACAGCGCAGCTTACTCGGATTACACCAGGATTCATACAGGCTTTGAAAAATTTGCGTTGTCAGGATGAATAAGCTAACTGTTCACAAGTTAATAACCACGGCATCTCTTTGAGGCAGCGTTTCTTCTTCTGGCCTGTGTCTGGTCAGCTTCTTAAAGTGGAAAACACATTCACGGGTTTAACGCTTAGTAGTGACAATTTTTTTTATTTTTTTTAAATGGAGTCAAAGCAAGTTCAACTAAAGCACTCTGGCTTCATAAGAAGTTAGGATGACAAAATAAAAGTACAAGGACCATGCTCCCTTAAAATAAGGCACAATGCAAATGAAAATTCAAACAAATTAATTAACAACAAAAGTATCCCGATTTGTCTTTTCATTTTTGATTGTGCTTCCTTCAATGTTAAAGTGCACCTGGGACAAGTTAACTTGATCAGCCCAGTACAATGCATTTTTAATCAGGTACTGGCTTTGTTATCTTCATAATAAAAATTCTCAAAAAGTATTCTTGACCTTCAACATCAAATACGTTTGCAGCAGTTTAATAGCAAAGATTCTCCTCTTGCTCAGAAAAAGTCTGTTGAACCACACCACTTCTCATAAAAGCCCAGACTGACCAATAATGCATAAATTCATTTGAAATTGTCCCCAGGGGTTAACTCAATGTCCATTTATTTTTTGACTCAGTCCTGTTCTACCCTTTTTAAAAGAAATATCGGTTAACGTGGTATTTGGCTGTAGAAATGGAAAAAAGCATAGATGGAGAGCAATACCCAGATTGCATGGGTAGCAGGAGAGTGAAGAAGTCTAAGAAGTCCAAATAACCACCTTACACAGCAATTTGGAGTTTAGACCAATGCATTTAATAATATTCCCTTTTAGCATCTACCCACTAATGTACGACTATTTTCTTTGATGGGCAGAGCTTAGCATGTGGGCTTGTTACATTTGAAGCTAGATAATACAAATATAATTTGTTAATATTTTTCCCCACTGTGCAATAGAAAAAGTTTTCAACTATCAGCCCAATGAAGTCCTGAGGCAGTGCTAGTACTTTTCTCTTTCACAAGATCAGCAGTCAGTTTTTACCATCCTTATAGGGAAGGATTTTTAACCTTTTTTTTAACCTTGCATTTTAAATCTCTAAGGACAGGAATTAAAACAAACACACAAACAAGTGAAGTACAAAACTTTCAGCAACTTAACCAAATCAAATACTACTTATGGAGAAGAAGGCCTGAAATGAAATTTTACTCCAACACCATCGTAGAAATACTGGCAAGCATCAGTGAGGGGAAACATTCCGCGTTTTGCAGTAGAAGTTCCTGGTTCAGCCAGGTCCTATCACTTCAAAAGAACACATTAAAAGCTAGGTGAAAGAGCAAAGCCTTAAAGCTACTTGTTGAGGGGCAACCTAGAAAAGAGATGAACTAGCCAAGAGTTTAAGTATTTGGAGAGCGAGTAACAGACTTTGGAACTGTTCCTGATGGGGCAAAAGGGACAGTCCTTACGCAAGTCCCAAGTCTAATCTGATGAACAGCTGAATTTGGTGAAAAGCAAGCTTACTAAATACACCTCCACTTGTGGTATATAAGCAAGGTCCTGAGAAAGGAGAGTGAAAGCTGTGTTACTACAGACATGAAACTGACCACTCGTTATTCAGAGCCTATCTTAGCACCACAGCAGGTTCCAAAAGCCTTGCAACACAACTAAGTTGTCACCACCTCATGAACAAGCACTTCTACAGGCTTTCAAAGAAGGTGCATTCATCAGAACACAATCCAAAGCCTACTGAGCCAGTTCTAGTTTCCAGAGACTGTATGCGGCCCTCACTTTGTGACCACTGTGTTTGGAACATATATTTTTTCCTAAAGCTTCAAGAAAGACCAAGCAAGCACTGTTAACACAGACGATCAGAAACCAAAGACAGAATGACATGGAAAAAAAAAAAACAAAAAAACATGAAAGCAGGTCCCTGAAAGTTACTTATTAAATAAACTACTAGACTACTAAATAACCCAAGAGTTTAACTCCACTTCTCTCTCCAGCCATCTTAATCCAGTCCATCTACCTCCCCTTTAATAAATTTGTAGAAATCGCTTTTCTTTACCTCACCTCCTCAGGTTTTCCTGATGTGACCATGGTATTTTAAAGAAGTAGCAATTATATAAGCTCACCATCTGTTTCTTTTCGGGTGCACGTTATCTAGCCTAAACAACCTACTGCATCTTTGCCAACAGTGTCCATCTATTATTCTCATACCTGCTCCTTATTAACTGTGATTAACTGTAATTAACCATGATTATTATGCAAATACCACACACACAAAGTCTCTATCTTCAAACAAGTATACTAACAAAAGCGAGCTGCAATTCTGTCCTTAACTCCTCTGCTAGCACTAATTCATTAGTCATTACTTTCCCTATCCCACCCTTCCCATATATGCTCTCATCCATAGCCAAGACATCTATACGTATAATATGCAAAACACAGAGCTGTGTAGACATTAGCCTGACAGAGGTAACTACGTATTTTGTTTAGGTCCCCCTACCAAAAATTGGGAATAGGGGGGAAAAATGGCAAAATTAAGCTGAGATCTTTGAGTGCTCCCACCTGAACACACCTGAGCCATTTATTTGGCCTTGCTACAGCTGTGGACCCCTTCACTGTTGTGTTGCAATTACAGTCCCTTTGGGGATTTACCACAGCCTGCCCCAAGTTATCTTAAAAGAGGCAGAACAAGAGCACGCAGTAGCCAGGACCTGTGACCAAAAGCTGGAAGGGCTGACTGCTTTTGGCTTGCCTTTTTGAAGATGGATGAGTGCCTGGCACAGCGTGCCTAACCCCTGTCTTAGCTCCCTTCCACACCAAAGTCTTTTCTTGTCAGGAGACAGAATTTGTGGGTGTGCTCACAAACCATGTTGTAGTAAATATGCCACTATCACACCCCTTCTCCTCGATATTTGCGTAGATTTTCTTGTTGTTTTCAAGCTTCCCAGCTTCTGCACGTTAGTAATGGCTCTGAAGTTTACTAAAACAAGCCTGCTGTCTGAAATGAGCCGAGTTTGGGAGCGTGGGTTGCTTACATTTTATTCTAGAGGCAGGCTGCGCTTTCGCAATCTCTGCGAAAACTAGAGGGCATCAGTCAGCACGAAGCCAAAATAACACACGGGGTGTGGAAAAACAGAACAAAATGCGAAGGAATTCGGAAAAAGAGATGCAGTTGGGGTTGATGGAGCTCAGAAAGGCACCAAGGAAGGCGCTGGGCGTGGAGCCCCGGGACTCCGCCGGCGGCTCACTCACCTTGCCGCATCCCGGCGGCCCCCAGAGGATGAGGGAGGGGATTTCGTGGGACTCCAGCAGGGACCGCAGCAGGGTCTGGGCTCCCAGCACCCGCTCCTGCCCCACGTAGTCCCTCAGCGTGTCCGGCCGCAGCCTGTCAGCCAGGGGCTTTCCCCTCCAGCTTCTGCGCCAGGCTGGCCCCGCGCAGCGCTGCCCCCCCGCCGCCCTCCTCCGGCTTCTCGCCGGGGGCTCCGGGGCTCTGCCCGCCGCCTCCGCGGCTCTTATGGAAGAGGGAGAAGACGGGGGCGGCCGCCGAGGGGGTCTCCCCCGATGGGACGGCGGCGGCGAGGCGCGGCTTCTTGGGAGGGGGCGAGCAGCCCCGCTCCGCATCGCCCTGCCCTGCCTGCAGGCAGCGGTCCAGGTGCGAGTTGATGAGCGCGCCCGGCAGCTCCCGCAGGCACACCGGGCACCGCACCGCCGCCCCCTCCTCCGCGCCCTCCATCGGTTCCCGTGCAGGGCAGGAAGCGAGACCGCCCGCCCTTCGGCTCCCGCAGCCCTTCGGGAGCTGTAGTCCGCCCCTAGCGGCTGGAGGAGCCGCAGGGAGCCTGGCTGCGGGCATAGGGCTCCGAGCCTCATGGCCAGCTCCCCGCACCCCGACACCCCCAGGGCGAAATGGCGGCCTCAGGGGGTCGGGTCCGCGCTGCCGTAGGGGCCCCAGGGCAAATCCCTCAGAGGGAGGTCTGCACATCCTTAGATTTGGCCTTAAGCTGCTGACTTCTGTCTTCGTGTTGAAAACTCAGAATCACAGAATCATCTAGGTTGGAAGAGACCTCCAAGATCACCAAGTTCAACCTCTGACCTAACACTAACCAGTCCTTGACAAAACCATATCCCTAAGCTCTACATCTCTTTTAAAGACCTCCAGGGATGGTGACTCCACCACTTCCCTGGGCAGCCTGTTCCAGTGTCTAACAACCCTTTCGGTAAAGAAGTTCTTCCTAACATCTAACCTAAAACTCCCCTGGCGCAACTTTAGCCCATTCCCCCTTGTCCTGTCACCAGGCACGTGGGAGAACAGGCCAACCCCCACCTCACTACAGCCTCCTTTGAGGCTGGGGAGTAATAAGGTTGCCCCAATCCTCCTCTTCTCCAGGCTGAACACTCCCAACCCTCTCAGCTGCTCCTCGTAAGCCTTGTTCTCCAGACCCCTCACCATCTTCATTGCCCTCCTCTGGACTCACTCGACCACCTTGATGTCCTTCTTGTAGCGAGGGGCCCAGAACTGAACACAGTACTTGAGGTGAAACATGTTGAAACACACAGAAAAACCCTTCCAGTTTTGGGGATGTGCAGCATCTCTGTGGTCTTTTTGGCTGTGATTCCACAGCAACGTAGGGTTATCACTGCTGTTTTTTTGTTGTTGTTTTGCACATTTTCAGCCAGCACGCTGCACAATCTGACTGAGATTGTACAACCAAGCACTGGGAAGGGGTGAGCCAGACCACACCAGCCCCATTTAGATGGCCTGAAGTGCTGTGGACTTGCTTCAGTTTCACGCTGATTAACATTAAATTACAATCTGTATTTGGGGGTACACCTCAGTCATTTGCTGGAATACACCAAAGCTGCTTTTTTGGTTGACAAAATACCAATAAATTCTTTTTAAGAAGAAAATAGAGCTCCCACATTACACAGAATGCTGTAGGGTTTGCATGTTAAAGTATAGTAAGCAGTACTGTTAGCATCCTAATTTACCACCTGAATTTGACCCACTGGTAATTCTTTCCACCTTACGTCTTGTTTTCTTTCCTGAATTATATATTTAGGTTTAATTATATTCTATTACATAATCATTCCCAGCTTGTAAATTTCAGGTCAGTCTAATGTCAAGATGTGCTATGCCAGGATCTATGAGGTAAACAAGTCTGGCTACTATGTAATAGTACCTGTCTCCCAGCTTAAATATTAAAAATGGCTGGTTTGCAAATGACCAATAGCTCAGAAATAAAGTTTTCATTTGAACTCAAGACAGAGGCCAAAGGACCGAGTTTTGAGCAAAGTGCTATGCAACCCATCATGTAAACCTAGTTCTGGCTGAAGGGGTTACAAACTAAAAACTGAGAAAGAAAAAGGTTGTTGATGGGTTTTTCTTTTGACTGACACACATTTGATTGCCTTTTTCTATATTGGAGCGGTTTCAAAGGCATTCACTTAATCACTTACACTTTTATTGTGCTCATGCTACTATTGTGTAGGATTGTATATACCCCCTCTGCATACAACTGGACACGTCTCTGTGTTGCTGTGTTAGGTCTGTGATTTCTGAGTGTACAAGTGAAGATGTGACACTTGAAGCAAATTATTTTGGTTAAAGTGAGAGATTGGCTTGCTGAGGAAGACCCAAAATAAAGCAGATCAAAGTTAGGGTATATAAATGATGGGGGGAAGGTTCATCCTCCTTTGAGAGAAACAGAGCTCAACATCTAATTGAACACATTTTCTCTTTCCTTTCAAAAACGTGGAGTGCTACAGCCTCACATTGCACAGTGGCACATGATGAGAATGGGATTGCTTCTCTGGGACTGCGCAGGGGGCAGTTGCAAGCAAATTGCCCTCTTTGCACCTCAGAAACTTTCAATTGTTTAGGTTATCATTTCAGTAATATATACAAGTAGTAATGGGGGAGAAGTCAGTAAGATTTGGACTCGATCCTAATCTCTCGTTGGTAATGGAGCACAGTAATGCCTTCAGGCTTTCCACCCCACTAATACTTTCCCAGATAAGTGACCCATCAGTCACTTATGAGGGAACAACATGCCCTTCCAGCAGGACATGTCATTCTCATTAGATGGATGGCCGCATTTGGTGGTCGTAACCTACGGGATGGTGTGCTCTTTGAAGAACTATGGAGGGTCTGAATCAACTTTCCCTGTTTACAGTCACGTCAGGTCAAAAGTGGTTTTCACAGCCAGGTAGCTCAAAAACACATGGCTTTGAATAGCTCTAGACGTGGAGGTGGCGGTAGGAAGTCTGGAAACCTCACTTGCTTCTCCTAACAGCTTTGATGTATGTTCCATCACCCCTTGGTGCTGGGTAGATAGAATGATCTAGAGAATTGGGGCTCAAAGGTTAAATTGAGACCTTGTGGTACGTAGCCTGCAACTGTTAGTGCATTTAGCAAAACTCACAAGCCCTGATCTGAGAACCTGGTGGAGAAATAGCTCTTAAAGTGTCCTTTCACCTGAAGGAGGTGGGAAGGAGGTCAGAGCCATGAGAGCTGGTGATGATGGCTAGAGACAGCAGACTTAGCGTTTTTGCATACCAAGTGCAAGACTTGTTCAGACAATGGATGTTTCACAGTCCCATGCTGGTGTCCATGCATCTCACTAACAGTGTGCTCTGTCTGGGGTGTCTCTCTTACTCTGGGCCCTCTACCTGCTGCCAGGTCCGTGAGCATCTTGGTCTCTTATTGCCACCATGTTGCAGTAACGTGGTAACAAATCTTCCTAGAAGGCTTATTTGCTAGGTGCAAGCTTGCACTTTACTGGCCATGATCTATAAACGTCACTACCAGCAATCCACCTCCTGTTTCACTTGTGATAGCATAAGGCACCTTCCACATCTGGGAAGAGTTTGGAGGAATAACTTTGGGCATTGTATAGTGAGTTGGTGTAGGCATACATCTAATCTGTTGCATGTGTACAGATGTGGAGTTGAAATACAGCGAGGAACATTTTCTGTTGGAAGGTGTTTAGGTAAAAATAACTGGTTTAATTGAGCTCTGGTTGTGTACCAAGAGCTATTTCCCCATGTAGCTGATGACTGTAAGGTTGTATATACATTCTTAATTATGCCATATAGTTTATGGTATTTATGCAAGTTAAAGTAAAAACCATGAGCTGTGTAATGAGATTGACCAGATCCAACTTTCTAGAACTAAAGCATTGCTACACTGCTTTTGTGGCTGGGTTTCTGGTTCAGTGAAGGAAGGTTTCCAATAATGACAACGTTTTTTTTTGCCCTGCATTTCCTGAGTCTATTCTGAGTTGCTAAGTGAAATTTTAGTGTAGTTTCTTGTAGTCTTATAGAATTAGTTGTGCAAAAGGACATATTTTCTAAGTGTAACCAAGTAATTACGGGAGGAGGGGTACCCCCACTACCTTGCTGTGGAATAAAGGCTTTTCTAGAGAATCAAAAGTAGCAACCAGGGATTAACTTGACCTGCAATAGCTTTTCAACCAACTTTACTGTTAGACAAGCCTTGATGATCCTACATGAAATAAGCTCTAAACACGTAGAAAGGACCTACAGTGGAAAAGAACCCAGCTGAGGAATGTGGTCTTTTGCAGCATTCTGCAGAAGACCTGAGATCACAATCAATTTGAAAATTACATTCTTTCACAAGACAGTGGAAAGAGAGGGAAGGAGTGAATTCAGGCCTAAACCACTTTTTTTACCATCTTAAAATTTCATGGGCTCAGTCCCAGAGTCTTCACACGTCACTTGCTGGAACTGCAGTGGAGAGAAAGAAAACACTTCTGAGCAACAGAGCCATTCAAGTGATTAAAAACTGGGTAGTGACCCATAAACAAGGTTTACAAGCAACAGCAATGCATATGGATTTGGTAGAGCTAAATAGTCTCTACAAACAAATTAAATTACATCAGTCCTTTAGCCTTCTTGAATTATCTAGTGTTCAATGTAGACAAAGAGTGCTGTTAATTCTGTATTTTTGTATTGGTTCAGAATATATAAAGACAGATATTTGAGACATAAAAAACATTACAACGCTGGCAGTTTTCTAAGCTAAAATTCATGAATTACATTGATATTTCCTATTTGTCTTTCTTTTGTACAGACAAGAAAGAGGAGAAATCAGAAGGTATGAGTGTTCACTGGTTTACGAATCTAAGGTGGAGAGGAAAACAGACAGTAAATTAACTGGGCACAGTATGAAGCTACTTAAGATTAACAGGCTGGAGGAAATCAATACACGATACAACAGCAACAGACTGGAAAAAACTGCCTTTTTTCAGAGCATGGAAAAAGTGGAGAGGACTACACATTCTCAGGAAGAAAAATTCAGGGAATCAGATCCTGGAATAGAAGACGAAAAGGTAACTAACTACATAATTAATTTTGTCTTCCCAAAGCATGCTTCCTTTCTTCTTCCAGTTAGTTAAGAGTTTACTATGTTTATTTCAGAGTAGAACTGAATTTTTCTTTTCAATCTGTGAACATGTGTTGCCACTACAAGAGTCTGGTTAGCATCTTTTAGTCTTTTGGATTCATAGAAGCAAGCATGTATGTTTTTATTTGGGGGTTTACCTACTTAAATTCAGAAGTTCCAAAGAAGTTGTGTGGTTCTGCAGCTCTTAAAAAACAGAAGGTAAATACGGATTCCCCTGGATTCATGTTTTGAAAGCATTGGTCTTACCTAACAGCAGTAGAATTTGTGGGGACTGAATGAGTCTCACATGAAGAGCAGATCTCCCAGAAGAACTAGGACAGCTTATTCCCTTTAACACAGGGGGAATAGGGCATG